CGATTACATAAGCACCACACCCGCTTTATAGATCCAACGTCGCGTGGAAAATATTTTCAACTTCTCCTCATCAAAGATCCATGAGACTCAAGGGATCATTTGAGCAACGCAAGAATATGTGATGCGCGGCTCACAATGATCATGATTCTGCAAACTGGACCATGCATCATTCTGCAATCCAACGTTCAACGAGACTTGCTCGCAGTCCACGAACCTGGAAGCCGGACTCCGACTCGTCGATCTGTATCCCCTCGAGCATACCCAGCAACGGACAAGATCAGGAATACGAGTCGCCCCGGCAAGAGGTAGGTACCCGGTGATACAGTGACAGTGAGAGCGCAGTCCTCGACTGCAACGGCATATGTGTGTACAGCAAATGAGCTCTTTCAATGCTCGCCTTGCTGAAGGAATATTAACGTGCCAAGATCAAAATGCCCTACTATTACCAAACACCTCTGCTCTTGCAAATCCGAAAGACACTGGTGCATGAAGATAGGGCGACATCCACATCGTACCATTGAATATTTGTATTTCCCACGCAGCTGGGTCCCACGAGACCAAACAGTTCATGTTCACCGTCCAAGTCCACATTCGCCCTGCGCTGTCTGATGCAGGAACACGACGACGACTGGCCATGGTGCTATTGTTTCAAAATTTGTCCCTCGCGTGGCCTGTTTGCGCTCCGCTGTGTTGGTTCTTTGATGTGTTATGCGAGGGGACCAACTGCCAACGCCCTGCAGCCATTACCATTGGACTGTCAATGGCCTCACGTCTCCCTGAGGCGTTGAAGCAATCTCGACATGACCACTGGATGACCACTGAGGTTCAAGGTCGGGCGTTGGCTCCCCCAAGCTTCTAGAATGGATCTCGTGGGCATGACAAAGGAGCTGTCCCAAGCTTCCACCATGGATTGAGCGTCTCAGGTCAAGACAATTCAACGCCAACTGGCGCCCACCAAACTGGCGAGACGCCCACACCACCGACCCGCCTGGCGCGCGAGAGAATTGGCGGTGGAAGAACCGTGTCACATCACGGATGCCATGGGAAAGACCACTGCGTGGTCGGTGCATACGGCCCCCCCTCTAGGCTGGAACTCTGCATCGGTCTCTCAGCCGAACAGGGGACGGGACGACAGGACAGCGGACAGGCCTGGTGGACACCAGAAAAACACCGTCCCTAGGCTGGGGCCAAGGCCAGCGCCTCAGGTCATAGAGCTAGGGACCACATGGCAGCAGTTTGGCGACATCTTGGCGAGGTCAACATCAGGCCGATTCCTACCTCGCGAGTCTAATTGCCTCGAAGGCAAACCTATCCTATCACAAATCAGACGTGGGCAGGCCGAGCTAATGCACGTTTTCAGCGAGCTGAGAAGACTCTCGAGATGGGGTGACAAGGGGAGAGCCCCAGCCGCGTCCCGAGGTTCTACAGCATCATGTATGTAGCTCATGCTGCTCGCTCATGTAGCAAAGACCGAATGGGGGCAGCGACGCCGTGTGACACCATCAGGCACAGAATTACTTTGTAGGCGCAGCCGCAGCCGCAGGAGGGAGTGGCAGAGACGCAGACGCAGACGCGCAGCACCGCCTCTGGAAGAGATCCAGACGTTGTCCCCCGGAATAATTGGCCAATGGCTTCAACACGTGTGGTCGCACTGGGCGCGGCGAATATCACATCAGCATCAAGGTAAAGAATGTTTAGCAGCCTGAGCCACGAGGCTTATCTCTCTGCTGCGACTCCATAGTAATACATCGTCACCGACAGAGATCGGAGACGATTGCAGGACAGGGACCATGGAAAGGAGCGGGCCAGTACCACCACCACTTCCACCATGGACAAAAAGACACCAGATGAACTTTGCAGACCAAGCGAAGCCAACACCAGGGGGCCATCTCCTCTCAGCTCTGAAATTAGCATGTGCCGTTTGTGTCTTTGGGCGCTGGCCCCGGACATTTGAACCAGGGGCTCTAGGCTTGATCGGGCAACACTCTGTAGGGAAACCGACCGAACGTCATCTCCATCGACAAGTGTAGCTGTACCTCTACTTGTGAGGTGCAGTGGGGGCCTCGATAAATAAAATGAGCTGGCTGTGCGTGCGGTGCAGCCGCATGTGCATGAGCGAGCGCGAGAGGTTGAGAGACCCGACGGTCATCCCCATTTGGGCCTCTCTGTTGCCCCTTTGAGCTGTCTTTGTTGATGTTTGGGCGGCTGGGAGGCATTTTATTTTGTTGACGTGACCTGATGGAAGGGAAGCCTGCCTGTCAATCACCTCGGGAGCCTCGCGAGTGAAACAGGAACCGTAAACAGAAGATGACGGTTGGCGATTGGCAGCTGAAGTGAAGGGCCTTGAGTATGCGGCCGCGCCGGTCGGCGGGTATGACGATGGTCCGGGGCGATTGGCTTTCAACTGACCTCAACGGCGGCTCTTTTAGCACATGGACAAGGCTGTTTTTTGGGGGGACTTCTCCCCTCAGCCATACAATCTGCCCATCGTGGAGACATCTGCGAACAGATGGACTATCAAGAAGGGAAAAAGGGAGCTGCCCTGTGCTTGTATTGTTGTCTTTCGAGCGGGTGGGTTCTTTGCTATCCCGCAATCTCGGACAACTCCAGAGATTCACCTCCGTACCTACTCGGCGGTTAACTGATCCGGCAATTCTTGTGACCTCCATCTGCGGAACGGGCTCCGCAGTTTGTGCTTGTGCTTGTGTGTGCAGAAACTCCTCCTGTTGCTGCAGATGATTACCAGCCCCTTGTTCTATCTGCAGAATAAGTAAGATGCTTTTCGAGTTGCCAACTAATAAACAACAAGAAAAAAAAAGAGTCGCGGTGTGGTGTCGTGGCCACAAACACACCCAGGAACCATGACCGCGGACCACGCTGCTGCAGCATTTGTACCCACAAAACTCCAGCCCGGCAAGGGATTAATTGACGATCTCCATCGGCCAAAGCTGGCGGCAGCACCTTTCGACACTAGCGGGTAAGGGGGGTTGGAATGGCGCAAAATCGTCGATCTCGCTTCCAAGACATCAATTCTCATGGGGGACGGGCTGGCGAAGGAATTGGGATTGTGAGAGGAGGAATTGAACATGCGGGGCACGTGTAATCCAGAAATTCACCGAGTACAAAGGAAGCGGGAGGGAGAGAAGAAAGGCGGTCTATCATTGATATCCATCATCGCGGAGGCGGACGGCAGAGGCCGGCTTTCATTGCTTCTCCAGCCCGAGACAACGTTTCGACGGTTGTCAATGAAATGACCCGCTTAGAAAAAAGTCACATTTTCCTCCCCCCCCTTCCTTGTGCGCCTCCTCCGCCGCCACCGAGAGCCTCCATTGGATCTTTTGGGGGAGATGAAAAAAAAGTTGTGAATAAGACGAGTTACGGGGTGACTACAGTCTCCAGCGTGGTATGGATGTTGGACAGAAAAACTCAACCTGACACACAAAAAAAAGTCGGAATCATACCTGGCGAGGGAGGACAGGAACAGGACAATGAGGATATTCCCCGCTGCCGTGCTTGTTTCGTGTCTGTCTCTGGTCCTTTCCGAGTGCTCCGGGCGTCCGGTCAATTACAGATGGACTGCGTCAAACCACAGTCTCACTGCATTGCATCGACGGCTCGAGTTTAGTAGTTGTCGGTCAAGTTGACGTACGTTGCATTGTATGTACAAAGAGTATGTATCTCACTTTTTGTTCTGCTGCAATGATACCTAGTCCTGGTTGACCTCGATTGCTGGGCCTTGGGTTGCGTTGTATCGTGTGCCATGAACGGCATCGGCTCACTTCAGCTCCGCGTGCCGCCAGGCTTTGACCCCCTTGTTCCTTGCGAGTGCCGTAGCTTACTGGAGAATGGACGAATGGTGATTCTGTAGAATGAGATGGTGCGCTAGTCGTTAATGATTTGTGCCTTGATTGCTTTGCTCTTGTTGCAATAGATCCAAGCTGGTGGGAGCACCGTCCTTGGATTTTCATGTAAGCTCTTGTTGCACGGTCGTGGCCATCGAGATCCAATGTCTGTTTCTCAGCTGTGATTCAGTCTTCTAGGCTATTTCCCGAAGAAGGACAATGGTGGGAGAGCCCTGGACGGACCGTCTGACTTGACGCCGTCAATGTCTAGTGGTGACGTCCATTTCTGATTCTCATTTCCCGGGCCGACGCCAGATTGCTAGGTCGTCAGTTTTTGGATCTCTCTCCTTATTTAGTGTTTGATCTTTTTTGTCAGCATTCTTACCCATCTCTCAGTGACCCCAAACACCTGAAGCTCCACCTCCGCTCGCTCTCAGCGACTTGCAGCGCCCAGCACAGCCAGGGCTCCAGCTGTTAGGCAAGTGATCTGATCCAACAGTTTTCAAAGAAAAGCAACCCTGGTCGATTGCCTGCGGAAAAAACAACAATATTCGCCCTGTCTCTTTTTCTTTTTTTCCCGCCCGTTGTCCCGTTTTGACGTCCACCCTACCCCATCAAGGCTAGCCTCATTTCTCTAGCACAACGCCCGCGCTGTACGGATACTTCGGCCTCCCTAAGCCCCTTGTCAATCACTCTCTGCTCTACTCCCCCCCGTCACCTCTTGCACGCCCCCCGGCCAGCCCGTGGCGATCTTGAGTGTGGAGGTCGCAAGGTCGCTCGCTCGCTCGCACGCAGGTCGCACCAGCCAGCAAAGGGACCAGGTACTGTACGAGGAGGAGCCTGGCCTGGCATCATCTCGCCTTGCAGTTTTGTCGATAGAAGCCTTGAGAGAGCATCATTTCTCCCCTTCTCCCCTCCTACAAACCATCCATACCAATTCATCCCCACTGCACTCTTGCTCTCTATACCCTCATCCCTCTGCCGGCCAGAGAAGCGTCGGAGTGATGTTCAACTAAAGACGTACGAATTACTTGCTACTGCTTCCATTCTGTCGTTATACGGTCCGGTCGTCTTTCCACCTGAGGAGCACCGCCCACGCTTCTCGCGCGGAAGGCTCCTTTGATCCCTTCGTTTGGTCATGAGATGGGTGGCTCAACTATGATCATGGCCCCGGCCGTGGATACTTCGTCCTCTTTCCCTCGTTCTCATTCCAGCCCGGACCTACTGTCGCTTTCGACCATCGAGAAGCCTGCCCCGAGCCTGGCCCTCAACAATCCCCAGCGCCAGAGCGTCACCTCTCTTCCGTCTCTACCGAGCCTGCCAACATTCGACCTCCCCTCGTTCGATGTCGACTTCAAGCTCGACACCTCCGTCTTCCTGACGGGCGAAAAAGCCGGCAAGGTTGCGCCCGAGTCGTTCCCCCCGATCGTTCGAACCGAAGAGGTGCCTGATGAGACGCCGCACACCAAGCATGCCCGAAAGAGGACCAGTTCGCTTATAGAGTCGCGCGGATGGCTCTCTGGCTCCAAAAATGCAGCTGACATGCAGCCTGAGGAGCCTCCTCGCCCTACCACATCAGCAGGCGACAGGAGTTTTGGCGGTGGATCCCTGGGCGACCTCAAGCCACTTGAAAGGAGCTCGACAGCGTCAGACTCATTTGCAGGCTTTGCCAAACGATCATGGCGATCCTCTCGCTCCCCTTCGCCTATGGACAAGGTCGACTCCCCTAAAAAAGAAAAATCATCGGGACGTAGCCGAGCTGAGAGCTCAACCTCGATTAAGCTGACCAAGACCCGCAAGCGCCCTGGCTTGACGGTTGACCAAGCGGAAAAGAACAGGTCGACTGATTCACTCAAGGCCGCCCCCAAGGGTCTTTCTCGGGCCAGTGGCTACTTCAGCAAGCTCAAACAGAAGCAGTCCAGCCTGGCAAAGCTCAACACAAACACAGATTCTGACAATAGCTGTGCTTCGTCCGCGACAAGCCTTGCACCTCCCACTAGCACGGACGGCCGCACACCGCAATCATCCACCTACGACACCACCACCACTGCAGCCACCTCGACCGATGAATCCTCCATCGAGATGCCGCCCCAGAACCGAGATGTCCTCTGGTCATCGTTTAAAACTCTTGATGTGGACTTTAAGGGGTTCCTCGCCAAGAGCACCGCCCAGCGAATCGCCCAGATCCAGTCCCAGCTTATCCCCTTTCTTCGAAAAACCATGAACCACGAATCGACCAAGCGCCTCTTCGCCGAAGATGTCGACCGACGAGCCACGATCCTCGACAAGTGGTGGGTTACCATCCTGGAGATGCTGGAGGGACAGGCGCCCCAACCCGTTCCCGGCGTTGATCGCCCTGTTCTCTTTGATGCGGCCACGCTCCTCATGATGCGTCTCGAATGGCGACAGGCTACCTCTTACTTCCTCCCTCTCGCCGACCGGTCTCCAGCTGAGCGGGTGCGAGCGCGATCGTTCACGACTTCGTCAAACTCGTCCATCACCTCCAGTCAGGCCGCCTTCCTCGAGGAGTCCTCCGAGCACAATGTCAGAACTATGTTCGTCTCCAACCTGGTCAAGCAGATGTCGTTCGTTGTCGAGAAGCTATCGCTACGCCACGCCCCTGTAAGCCTCATCAATTTCGCTGGAAAGGCCTGCGCATACGCCTTTTTCTTCGCACCCGGCATCGCAGACATCCTGATTCGACTCTGGGGTCTCTCCCCTGAACTCATTCGACGAGTCGCAGATGAGATTGGCCTCCCGCGCAAAAACCAGGGAGAGAGCGAGGACATTGTGGCCTTGTTCCCGCCAAACATGGGCATGTTTGGCTGGACTTCACCCAAGGGAGTATGGGATAGCCTCAAAAAGGTTCCCAAGCTGCCTATGCTCGTGTCTCGGATCCCCTGGACGGGTCCCTGGGTACCACGCTGGAAGGGCCGCGACACGGACGTCTTCTTCATTTTCTGCAAATACTTCCACATTCTTTCTGAGCAGTTTATGCCTGCGGGCTTGCCCCTGCTCGAGAAGGCGAGGTCTCCTGCGTTTGCTCTGGTCCACGCTCAGCTGCTCTTTGTCTTGGATACAACAATTCACCGTCAGACTCCCATGGATGTTGGGTACAACGCGATGGATTCAATGCCCGGCGCCGATGCTTCGATGACCATGCCGCTTCCCACAAGCAATGTCATGAAGGGCATGTCTGAGAACCGACTCATCATGCTCCTGAAGGATTTCCTCTCAGACGAGTCTCTTGAGCTTGCGGGTGCTCGACATACATTCGCGGAAGCCTTTGCTACGATAATGAAGGCAGCGACGCGGAGGACATCCAAGTTTAATCACAATGCGTGCTTCACCCTGTGTGACTTCCTAGAGGAGGTTTTGGTACTCTACAGCGAGTTTGAGGACCCAGATTGCTCTTCGAGCTACGTCGATTGGCCTTTCTGGTTCGACGTTTGCAAGAAGATCATGAGCTCTTTCAACACCATGTCAGAAGTTCGAATGATGGCCTTTGTCTTTTCCATCTGGGACGCCATCTCCAAGGATCCGATACGCAAATTGACCGTCTGTAAGGACTGGCTTCTCACCGAAGAGACCTTTAATGAGTACTTCAACCACTGGTGCCCCATGGTCCGGGCCTACTACCAGCGTTTGCTGTGTTGGCGAATGTGCCGAGACGCAGGAACGCTGGATGAGGTGGATGGCCAAATCTTTGTGCTCGTGGCCGAAAGACTTCAGACGACGTGGTCACATTATCTCTACCTCAAGCACACTGCGGAACAAGAACAAAGAATCCCGCCTTCGACTGCTCCCGTGCTTCCAGCGCCGGGAAAGCGCTTCATGATTATTCGACAGGAGCTTAACCCTCCCCAGAATGGACTTTACATGGGAGGGTTTGACTCATTCTCCAAGCTTCCCAACAATGACACCGCTGCTACCACCCCCTTGCCAACCGACGTCAGTGCCAAGAACGACAACAAGAAACGATGGTCGCTGCTGGGCAAGGTCCTGTCTCTAGGGGGTACCGGTGGTAACGCGGGAGCAGGTGCTGGATGGGATGACGAATTCCAGACTGTTCGCCGTGAGACGGCTGAGGCGCGAACTTCTCTGGGCAGCGCGCCGACAATCAAGACAAACGGCAACAAGAACCGCGTGTCCGAGGACGATTCTTTGTACTCACAGCCGATCTACGAGGAGCAAAAGTATGTCTTCAAGTTCATCCTCGCATGGCAGCACCAGCAAGCGCCTCTCCGAGAGCGTTTCCTGACCCGACCCCGACTTCCTGGCCCAGCTCAAATGCGAATCAGCGGCCCATTGGCAGTTGGCAACACTGGAATCCCGGCCCCGACACGAAAGTACTCGGGCAGTCCGCAGCAGGGGTTGATCAACAGCGCAAAGAACGCGAGTCCTCTCGCCTCTCCTGTGGATGAGTCACCAAGGCGGCTGTCCCTCAGCCTCAACAGTTCGTCAAGCTGGAAGACGGAGCTCTCCTTCTCAGAATTGGGTAATGGATCGCCTACCGGGTCGGGTATCAGGGGAACACCCAGCCCTGCTCCGTCATCAACCTCGGAGGAGCCCAAGAAGAATGCGAGCTCATTCGGCGATGGCGTCGTAGACCCCGCGAAGCCCACCGGTTTCTACACAAAGAACATGGTCTATTCTGGACGATCCCTCGCCGAGTGGGCTCAGGTCATCTTTGAATGCAACAACTTTGTCGAACGCCGTCGTGACGAGGGCATCGAAGATCTTTCCGATGTAGAAATTCCCCTCCTGTCGGTCGAGGGCTTCCGCAAAATCGGTGGCTAGAAGCCCACAAAGAGCAATCAGTTGCTGAGCTGCTCATACATACGTCTTGCATCATAATGTCGCCTGCACGACTCTTTCCTTGCCTCATATACCCATGCATCAACAACGGTGGGGTTGGAAGCATTTTCTCTTGCACAAACAAACAAACAAAATATCAGGATACCATGCCATGGCTGGGCAATCTTTCATGGTCGTTTTTCTTCGCATCAATGCCACCAGACTCGGGGCTTTAGACAGACATGGAATATGCCACAGTTTTACGAATCACTCGGAGTGATTTGATTTGCTCATGTGTTGGGGATTTTCAACACTATTTGGTTTTGATTTGATTGCAAAGTTTTGGCGTTGGAGAGCAATAACTGGTCTGTTTTTATTTGCTTATTTTCATTCCTTTATATACCAAGCCGTCAAAGGTCATTTTGGACTTGGTCATTACTTCATTCGGCGGAGGGGGAGTGGGCGAACACTAGGACGGTAGGGAGGGATACTGGCAATGTCATGGCCAACGCGGTCTCCGGTCTGGAGTGCTTGGTTAGTTGAGGGTCACCTCTTGTGTATATACTATTAGATTGGATGGGGACGTGGTGGGAGTGGGTGAATACAGAAGGATTTTCTTCTGGCTTTCTTGGAACTGGTTAATGACATGGTGATAATGACAGACTATCTTGTTTATATGAGTTGAGCAAGATATTAATCCAAAACGTGGACCAAGACACTGGACATCGCCTCGCCCCCTCTGCTTCATGATGTTATCAACTCCTCCCAAGAGCAGGCTTCAGCTCAGCCCACATCTCCTGGGCCTTGAGACGGTACGTCTCAAACCTCTTGAGAGCATCCTCCCTGAGCAGCGGCCGACGGTCGGGATAGTATTCTTCAAACGATGGTTTGCCGTCGTTGGCAGCCAACCAGGCCGGACGGCTGCGCGTGTAAATGTGCACGTCAGGCTCAATCTGCCATGGCTGATCCAGCGTACCGACGCGGATATAATAGAGGTGACGACCAGCGTCGGCGTAGTGAGTCCATAGCCCAGTGCGGCATGCCGGACAGCTCGCGATGGTCTGGCCTAAGCCGGACTCACTCGGCAGACAAACGGCTACGGTGTCAGCGGACGGCCTGGGCTCTCGCGTCGGGTCCTCGGCGGCGGTGATGCGCGCGAACGCGGGGGCGACACCAGCCTGTACAGGTTCCGGGCTGGCAGGCAAACCGGCGACGGTAGGGGACGCCGAGGGGAGAATCTCAATGGCAGAGGATTCAATGACGGCGTTGAGAGCGAGGGCGGTGCCAGTCTGACGCTGACAAGCGGTGCAGTAGCAGGCATGGACGATGATGGGGGGGAGGTTGAAACGGTAGCGGATAAGGCCACAGGCACAGCCCCCAGCGAGGGGAAAGATGTCTTTTTCGGAGTAGTGAGTCGACATGGTTGCAGCTTGAGTCTTGAGAAAGCTGGGAGAGGTGAAAGGGGATGAGGGATTGTGTGTTGGTGTGTGAAAGAAAGGGCGCGGTTTACATCAACCCAGGGTGAGCAGCGTGTGTGCGGGAGGGGGGCACAGCCAATATTGCGCAACGATGAGGCACGGACGAGCCTATCATAAAATAATCAGACACCTTGCAAGGATGATTCTCACCATCGTGTTGTCAACATTTTCGTCGTGCCTCTTTGCGTGCGTCGTTTTTTTGACCGTCTGACAGCCCTGGTGCAAAGCGGAGTAACAGGGTGCTGACCAGTGAGAATGGGCTTTGTCGCCTAATTAGGAAGGGGGATGATGGGGCAAGTCGAATTACCACAGAGCCAATGGATTCGACATTTTGGTTTAAATCAATCCGACTGATAATATTTCGTTACTTTCTTCCAAAAGATAGACATGGACATTTGTACAGTGTATGTTTAGAATTGAGCTCTCATCGTCGTCGGCGCCTTATCTAAATCTCTCACTCCAGTGGCTGCTTCGTCGTCGATGCCGCTCCCATGACCAGCTACGGCATTGATTAGGATAATGCTTTGAAATAAGACTAGGAAAATACGGGAAAATACATAGAGGACTGGCAAAGTGCTCCTGTGTAAAGTGGTATTTGTATCTACGGAGCGCCGTAGACTCTGGGATAAATAGCGCCATTATTGTTAGACTCGATGGCTTTTAGATTAAAACCCTGGCCAGAGCCGTTGGTCTCCCCGGATTGAAATGGCACAATGGATGCATATATAGAGTGCGGAACCCCAACTGTAAAGATGGCAAAAGGAGTCAAGAAAGAAAGGATGCAATAGTGTCTTAGTTGATTAGCTACTGCTCAACTGCAGACGATGCGAAGAGGGTACCTAAGTCAGTTAGCGAATTCGCTTGGTATGAACAAAAAGAGCTGATAGACAAGATGAATTAAACAAGCCATGATTCGATCCATGTCCTTAAGAGGATATGAAACAATAAGGGACGCAGGGGAGTCTAGCAGAGGCCCTTGCTGCGGCGAGGAGGCGTGCAACCTTACGGAAGCTGAAAGAGTAAGGACTGGAGCGGCAACATACAAGACATTGCGATAAAAGAACAGAAAATTTTACAGCACAACCGTTTATTTAGTGACCTACTCCCTTAGGCTTATGCTATACATTGTGCAGAGAATGCAGCTCAAAGAGAGGATCATGCTAGATGCGCCCTCCCAGTATTGATCATACCAAACGCCCCTATATCACTTACTATGCAGTGACATCCAATACTCCATCTGTTTCTTAATCTCATTCTCTCACATCACTGGTTCCCAAGCACATGCTCTTCTCCTCCCACGTGATCCCCTGCAAAGCCAGCAATCTCAGCCCTGCGGCAGCGCTAGTCCCAAAACAGGGGTGTGCCAGCGCCAAAGCCAACCACGTCACCGCGTCTAAACGGACCTCGAAAGGATTACCCGTTTGACTCTCCTCTCCATCCATCTCCATCAACGGCTCTGCAGAAACTATCGGTACAGTGCCTGGTCTTTCTGGAGTTATCCGGCCGAGTGCTTGTAATTGATCACCATGCCCAACACGGGCAAGCCGAGCAAGGACTGCCATCTCTGCAGGTCGCGCCGTGTCAAGGTCAGTGCTTGCTTGTGCTTACGCCTCTGCTTATCCCCCACCTACGGATGCAGTTTCTGACTGTCTCGCAGTGCGATCTTGGCAGACCATCTTGTCAGAGATGTATCAAATATGGAGCTGAATGTCCTGGTTATAGAGATGAGCATGAGCTTGTCTTTCGCAATGCCAATCCAACCACTATCAAGAAGCGTAAGAAGAGAACTCAGCAGCAGGCGAGCCGTGGGGTTTCTGTCATATCTTTTTCCGACTCGTCTTCTTCAAGCGGAGACTCTGCCACTCCCGGAACTCTCTTGGATGAGAACTTTGGATTGAGTCCTGTTTCTTCAACTTCGACTGACCTAATTTCCACCGCGGGCTCTGATACAACACTCATCCTACCCCAATCAATGAACGAGCATTGGACCTCTCACTCCATCCCCATCCTTCTCAACGTCTACTCCACTCTAGAGTTCCTACACGACACATATAGGAAAAATGATGTCAACGGGCCCCTTGTTTGGGCTGCCCATCTCTTTTCCCGTACCTATGTCACCAATCTACGATACCCCACTGCCATCGACAATGGATCCATTACCGAAACTGAAAAGGAACTGGGCACATATCTCGGTAAAACTTTGAGCTCTGTTGGAGAGGCATTGAAGTCACCTGGCGGTGCTCTCCGAGATGATGTCCTTGCAACAGTATGGATTCTAACAAATTACGAGGTAAGAGCCTTGCGCCTTGTGCCCTTGGTTCCGGATGCTAAGGTATTCAGCTTCTCATGGGTTCCATCAACCGCATAGAGCCAATGAGTCCGTGGCACCTTCACACACGAGGCCTGTACAGTATTCTCAAAGCGAGAGGCACCGCTTACTTCAAGAGAGAAACTGGTCGAGCTGGCTTTTGGCCAGCATACAACATGGTGGTACGTACCTCAAGAGCCCATTCTCTAGACACTTGGTTGACAACCTAAAGCAAGTGCAATGCCTCTTGACAAGCATCGAGTGCCCTCCAGAGTCTGAGGAATGGTTTTCCGCAGTCAGAGAGACTCTACATCCACAAGAGGGTTGGGCGCTCGAAGTGTCCTCCTACATCACCAAGATTGCCCACGTGCAATGTCGCATGTTAAAGATTCTTCGGGCCCGAGACTTTGATGCTGCCTCGGCTGAATACTACGACTTGATCGGCATCTTGTTCCAAGCCGAGGACAATCTGAAAGCATTTGAAGCATTCAACGTTCATGTGGACCACGACTTTGACCCGTACATGCGCAACATGCTCAACTCGGCCCGAGTCAAAGGTTATCAAGTCGTCTTATCTTTTGCCAACTTTTTAACCCACCACATCGCCTCTCCAATTCCGCTCGACGTCCTCAAATCCATCCGTGCACACTGTATTCGGCTGGTGCGTGGATCAGCACAAGAGATTATGGATGGAGTGTCCCGGAACTTGGACCCAGGGGCATTCCGGAATAATCCATCTCCCAGGACTCTGTTCGATGCCTTGAAACTGATATGGCCTCTCACGGCAGTGTACCTCGTATCTTCGACTCTTCCAGAGCAGCAAGAAAGCGCAGAGAAGACACTACGGTTCATAGGCAGGGAGCTTGGAGTTCGACAGGCTCTAAGGGTGAACCGAGGAGCATCAGTGTTGCCCCCTGAGGCAGAAGCACCGCTGGAGTTGGTTGAAGACGAAACTTTTGACCCATTGCCAAAAAGTGCTGGGTTGATGTGAGACATTTGTGGCTCTGTTGGCAGACAGTCACACTTGGTCACTCTCAACTAGATTGCCTACTCATCTAGACATTGTGAGGGGTCTTCTCGACTGGGAACTCACAACAACTGAGTGTATCTATTGCAGATCTTCAGGGGTATTGCATCTGTCTCAGTGGACCTTTGTTGAGTTGAAACAACAAAACGCTATACAGACGTCACTTGCGGAAATTTGCCGCCCAGGCCCTCATTATTGGGTCTCTCCACAGCCCGAAGTGCACCTCGTGAGGCCTGGGATATTAGGAGAGGCCATGATGCGAGAGGATAATGAGGGGGCAACTCAACCCGCAACAGGGCATAGCTGCCGGACCCATTCCAGCGTCTAATTACACGAGCTGAACTTGGGAGCCTCAAAAATAGGATGTGGAGACAATGATACGAAAGGATCGTCGGGTTCAAGCTGTGGCGACGAATGGCGGAAAGAGGGCTTCCGGAGACACCTTGTGGCGGTGCGAGCAGACAAGGAGAATTCCGCATTCAAACCAGGCCGAAAAGGAGGGACGAAAACGCCAATCAACCGAAAACGCAAGAGGATCTGGTCCAAGGGTAAACGTTCCACGAGAAAGGGGATGATCAACAGGCGGAGCATGGGTCCGGCGGGTGGCGGCAGTGGAGAGACGTGGCTCTTCTCTCTCGTGTTGGGAATTGGCGTCGAATAGCGGTTTCTTGAAATGGAAACAAGGGAGGGGAAACAGAATTTAGCTTTTCGGAGACGGAATTCTGGAGGCCTCGACCGAGTTTTGGGTCAAATTTTGTTGATGGAGATCGTATTCTGATGGTTTGGATGGGTTTTTGGAGGATGGTGTTTTCGGTGAGAGTGTAATCCACACTGTCCACCCACACGAATAGAGTGTAGACGTACAGTGCGCAGAGTCGAGCATGTGATCTGACGTCAAAGCCTGAAACGGGTCGTAGGATGTCCGAACCAACCACGTCTCGTTGGACTGATTCACACTCTCTCTTGTTCAATCACGTCTCAAACCGCTTCTGGAATCTCGATCGTGACGGTGCTTTTCTTGTTGCACGATCCCTGCAGCCTTCTCTAGCGCGTCTTCCTCGCTTCGCTTCCTACCCCGGATTTGCTCACGGCCGTTATCAATTCGAAAGCAGGGCAATGCCAAACACCAGTGCAGCCAGCGCAGCGGTCGGACCGAGTGAAGTCATCCAATCATCACGGTCCTCGATTTGCCAAGGTTTCCCGCTGATGGATTTGGCAGCAGGGAACTGCTGAAGCCGCGCCAAGTCGTCAAGGGTGCCTTTCAGGTTTTTTTGACCTGGTTCGTCCGTGTGCAATCAATGCAATGCGGACTCTCACCCTCACCGCAACCATTCTTGCCTGCCCGCCTGGTTTCGTCTCTCTGACCGAGGGGGGCGTGATGCAGTATTAGCTTGCAGCGTTTGAGAAATACTTGTCTGGTCGAGGTGTACAAGCGACGATACGATACCACGCTGGCATTGCAGCATCCATACCAATGGATATTGTATCCGCACCCTCCACAACAACTTCTCCACGCCCTGCTCGCGTGGGCTGTGTCCCCGTCTCGCCTTGTCTCGCCCTCGGGCAGTCGATGATGTAGTGGGTCAGGGGTCAAGAAACGACGGCGGCTTTGCTGTGCTGTCTGTCGACAATCGGGATGATTTACGGCTTATGTTGACGACCGACGATCCCTTTGATCCTTGGCTTGGTTACCTGAGCCAAACGCATTTAGAGGCGTTGTGTTCCAACATGGATAAAGTCGTGCTCCCCTGTGGCCCTCTTCCCCCTCCTCTCGCAAAAGGAACCTGCAATTGCAAAGGTTGCCATTGAAAAAGCGCAATCCCTCGTGTTCGAGGCCATTCCGCTTACAGTACGGTACAGCACAGGTTATGACCCCCTACAGCGTGCCATTGCTTGAGGGTGGGCTACATCATAGCACTCGCCGATCCGAACCACCATCAGGGAACGCCCATTTCAAGACACTCGTCGCCACCAGCCGTCATCTACTCTACTTTTACTCATCATGTCTATGCTTAAATCTCCCACCCCAGCCAACGCGGCCCTTTTGATGCCGCCAAATTGCGGCTCTCCAGTTCGTCCCCGTTTCAACTCACAACGCACCTCGGATCGTTTGCGAGAGAGTACTACTTTTATCACGCCACCATTCAAGATGGGAGGCAACATCAGAAAGGGAAGAAGATCCGTATTTAAAGAGGTTGGGTTGGACGATGACTTGGAGTATCCGGAACCATCATCAGCACCCACGTTACTACCAAGTCAACATACTACTACTACCCACCATAGCAAAAGAGAGAATACCGACAACTCAGATCCTGTCCAAACATCTCAGTCAAATAAGCGAGACTACGAAGAAGAAAACGACCAGGATCACGACAGCAGCGGAGAAGATTCATCTGGGAGCAAGCGTCAACGCTCACAACCGTTATCATTATCTTCGCCAAAGACCTGGTACGCCAAGCTAGCAAACACAAAGGGTCGACCGAGAATCAAGAGCACCTCGGGTGCATCTCCAGGCGTTTCCGGCCTTCATCGGTTCACCATGATAGCACTGCTCATTGCCATTGTGCTTCCTGCTTTCAGTTGGAGAAATGGGCATTCAGTCGCGGACCTCAATGGCGCCAATGCCGGTGTCATTGCCCGTCGAGATACGAGCCCCACTGATGTCTGCGCCAGATGGGGCCTGCAAGCTGCCCAATTGAACGGCACTCTTTATCTGTATGGCGGTCGAGCCAGATCCAAGGCAGACCAGACGGAGGATACATGGAACAATTACTTTCTAACTTTGGATCTCACCAAAAACTGGGATGTTGACTCACCTGAGCTCACGGGACTCGAGAGGCCTGATGGTCCTCCTGAGGTGTCCATGGGCTATCTTTGGCACGACTACAACAACCTCTACTTATACGGAGGTCAGTTCTCCGATTCGCCATACGTCGAGCCCGGGCCCGAGTCCCTCTGGCGTTACTCCATCGCCGACAGCACATGGACCGAGTTCAAGAACCCCAAAACCTCTACGGGTAATGAGTCTGAGTCTGGCAATCAACCTGTTCACCGCGCCGCTGAGGGTGCAGGTCTTTCTGTTCCCGAGCTCGGTCTCAGTTGGTACTTCGGCGGTCATCTTGACTGGGCCACCACTCCAGGCTGGTCGCGCGACATCGACAGGGTGTACCTCAAAAGCCTACTCGAGTTTACCCACCCAGGCTATGTAAACTCAGGTGTTGACAAGCTCTCCACCGGCTCGGGCGCGCCCGAAAGTGGTACCTTTCGAAACATCACCAAGGCGGGTGTCCAGAGCGGCAACTTCACCGAGAGAGCAGATGGTGTCCTCGTGTTTGTTCCCGGATGGGGAGACATGGGAGTTTTGATTGGACTCGCCGGAGGCACCAACGAGACCTTTACAGAGGATCTCAAGACACTGGATGTTTATGATATTGCCAACTCCAAGTGGTTCCACCAGGAGACATCTGGAGACACACCAAGCGTCCGCGTCAATCCCTGCGCCGTCATCGCCAGTGCTCCAGATGCCTCGAGCTTCCAGATCTACATGTTTGGTGGACAGAACCTACCATTCGTAAGTCCTCGTATTGAATCTCATGACTGCAACCCAACCCGCTTACACATGACAGGGAAGTCAGACGCAATACGACGACATGTACATCCTCACCATTCCCTCTTTCACATGGATCAAGGTCGATCAGAAAGGAAAAAACGTGCCAGCTGCGCGTGCAGGTCATTCATGCGCCATGTACGACGGTCAGATGGTGGTGGTGGGCGGCGTGGGCAAGGACATTGAGTGCGATCCAGGCATGTACGTGTTTGACGCCTCGTCGCTCGAGTGGAAGGACAAGTTCCAGGCCGCGGACCACGGCGGGGATCATCACCCGGAGAATCTCGTCCTTGCCGGGTCCTTTGGATACCAAGTCCCGGACGCCGTGCACCAGGTCGTGGGTGGGGGCAGTGACGGCGGAGCTACGGCGACGACCCCCGCTGTGGGGCCGGCCACCGGCGGTCCGTTTGCCACGGGGAAGGCGCCCGTGTTTACCATCACGCAGGGGGCGACAGCTACGGTCCGAGTTGGAGAGACGGGTACCTCGACGGCATCGCCCGATGATGATGACAAGGACGATGTCAACGGCGGCCTCGTTGCTGCAGGTGTCATTGCTGGCATATTTGGTGCTCTGGCTCTATATCTCGGCTTCTGCGCTTGGCTTTACCGCCGTCAGGTCAGGGCGTATCGACACCATCTTGCTGTAACGAATAGGTACTCGGGAATTTCCAACAGCACATTCGACCCCTCTCCAGCTTCATCCAGAGACAAGGCCGCCGCCACTGCCGCTGCTGCTGCTGCCGCTACTGCCCGCCTAAACCGAAGCTCCTCCCGCGAGAGCCTCTTTGGCTGGGTCGGCCCCAGCCGCGAGCAGGGATGGACCACGGAGCCCAAGTGGCGAACCGATGACGAAGACGACACCACGCCCAGTGCGATGGGCTCCAGCAGCGCACCGAAACCCAACGAGGACATCAGGCCGGGCACAAGCGGCAGCGGAGGTTCAACAGAGGGGTTGCTCGAGGGTCAAGAGCCGAGCTTCTTTAGTGTTGTCATGGGACCAAGGAGGGCGTTGCGGGTGGTCAACGGCGCAGAGTAACAAGTACGGATGACATGTTTTAAAAAGGATACTTGAGGGATACAAAGAATGGTGTTTAATTCCGGCGAGTTTGTAGGCCGGGTGATGATGTTGACGATATATATGAGCTGGTGGCCTTTTCGACGCCGCTACATTCGCTGATACCCCTTATTTCTTCCGCCCTTGCAGTAAGCGGGATACTACCAAGTAACAGAATTTGATCACAATATACATGTAATTTGATCATGATGAAACGAATCTATGAAGCCATTGATCTGTTCATAACGTCGTCTATCTAACCGATCCGTATAAAAGCACACAATCTTGTAACAAAACAGCCAACCCCCCAATACCGATCCGTCCTAGGACAGGAAAGGTCATGGGCAAATTTGTATATCTCGCTGCGCCAAAAACGCCGATTCTCTCTATCCAAGAGATCCATGCCAGTCCGTCCCTTCGCTAAAATGCCAAACATGAAGAATAAGGATTTCTCTAGAAAAGAAAAAAGAAAAAAAAGAGACAACGGAAATCATTTGCGGGACCACTTCTTGAGCTGCTTCTCAGGAATTGTGTTGACAAAAGCCTCCTGGAGGAAGTGCTTCCAGACCTTGTTGCTCTTCTTTCGAGTGGTCTTTTCGCCCTTCTTTCCTCCCTTCTTCTTCCTCCTCCTCCTCGACTGGTCAACGTCGGAGTCAGAGCCATCGGGGATCTCCTCGTCGTCATCATCGTCGTCTTCGAAGTCATCATCAACCTCGCCGACCGACTTGGCCTTTTTCTTCTCCTCTTGCTTTGCGATTCTTTTCGCCAGCCTCAAGTAACTCCTGACCGTCAAGTCGGGGAGCTTGAAGATCTTGTCGGTAAAAGTGCTGTACTCGACCTCATACTTGAACTCGCGCGGCTGAGGGGTGTCGTGGTTGGGCACCTCGTCGCTAAAGTCGCCATCACGCCACTTGGACCCGTCTGCGGGATCCGTCATGTCGTTGTTGATGTAGGTGAGGTTGGCAAAGTACTGCGTGTATCCGGTGAAGGTGAAGGGCTGCATAGAGTACGCAGGGCCAGGGAGCGATTTCTTGGGCGGATCATCTGGAACCACGAGTTGGGGGTCCTTGGGCCTCTTCTTCCCCTTTTTTCCCTTCTTGCCCTTTTTCTTCTTCTTCTTTCGCTCAGCTTCAAGGTCTCTCTTAAGCTCTTGTCGACCTTCGTCCTCAGGCTTATCGAATTCCGGGATTTCAGTGACCTGTTCAGGCACCTTTGCGTTCACGTCAAAGGCATCAGTCCAAATCGGGGTGTTCTCCAGACCGCTGATGTTGTACTCGATGACACGGATGGTGGGGAAGTAGTTGGGAACCACGCTGGGGCTGACCAAAGACACCTGGTATCGCTCGCCGTATTTGCCGCCAATCTTCTTGAGGCCCTTCTTCTTCTTGCCCTTCTTTCCCTTCTTTTTCTTTCCAAGATCGTCTACTTCATCGTCCTGGGCGTCAGAGTCGTCATCTTCGGCATCTGCTTCTAAGTCCTTGATAGCCACGTTAGGCAAGTCGGTCCATGAATCCCTGAGCTCGACGAGGTAATCGCTCTTCGATTCGACAGAAAAGTCGTCCTGGATGGGCTCGCGCTCAATAGCCTGGTCGTAAAGGCTCAGATCAATGTCCTTGGTGTCTTGGAACAGGAAGTGATCGATGTTCATATGGCCATAGACGGAGCCAGTCACGACATCGCGGAACTGCTTTAGCCATAGAGTATACTTTTGCCAGCACGTCTCGTCCCAGTTTTGCTTATTCTCGGTCCTCGCGGGTGGGACGTGACCGACCAGGATGGCCTTCATACCGCGCTCGCGCAGTCGCTGCAGCTGAACGCTCAGCCACTCGAGATGCTTGAAGCCAGGTTCGGAGGTATCGGCACAGCCATCAACACCAGCGTTGCGATCAAAGAAGTACATGGTGTTCAGACTAATGACGGAGAGCTTGTTCGGGATAACCTCAACCTCGAACCAGCCGCCAAAGGCAAACGAATGGCGCTGCTCCTCGGGGATGAAGCGATGCCATATCTCGCTGTAGGCCTTGAGCCACTTGTTGGGGCCAGGGTAAAAGATGTTGTGCGGGAGGAAGTCATTATTGCCAAAGGTTGGAATGACCGGGATGTCGAGCTGGCCATTGTCGGAAAAGGTGTCAATGATCTTCTGGGCTACCTGTCGATTCGTTCCCAGCACATGACCAGAGTTTCGAGGAAGCTTTTCGTCGCTGTCGTGACGCGCAGTATCGCCAGTCCATACAACAAAATCGACGTCATCCTTTACATGGTCGCGTATCCAGTCCAAAGTCGCGTTCACGAGAGCCAAGGGCGAGTCGCAGTCGGTAGTCTCGGCGCCGTAGGTGCCCGCTGGGCCCTGCTTGCGATGGCATGCGACGCCCTCGGCGGTGGAAGAATGGGCCTTGTAGAATTCATCAGGGTGAAAATCTGTAGAGTTTGAGTTCACGTTAGCAATGGCTGTAGGTTTGGCTGCAAGGGGAAGAACACGTTGAGCACACCACCACGTCTCGAGCAAGGCCAATGCCCGTTGAAGGGCACCAACCAGAGGCTGCCAGCGACGCACGCAGGGAAACACGTACCTGTTATGTGGAGAAATTTCCCATTTAGCTTCCTGCTCTGCTGCTGCGCGTTTTTCGGTGTCGCGAGTGAATTCGTGCTGAGAATTCTTTGATCGTCGTTGATAATTGGGGATGGGATGACGGTTTGGAAGAGGAGAGTGGCTGCCACGAGCAGTCGGGCGCCTGTAAGTGGCATCTTGCCTATGCCTTGTCTTGTGTCCACTCGATGAAGTTTGTCTTTATCTCGTATATCGGTCGATCAATGGTTGTTCGATGACTGTTGAAGTCGTCGCGAAAAAGTCGTCAAGTTTGATGGTGTAAGAGGTAAGAAATGTCCAAGGCAGCTGAGGCTGAGATTGAGTAGTAGGGCGAGGCAAGCGTGAGGTCATTCCCTGCAGGGAAATAAGAAAAAAACCATGGGGGCCCCTGTCAGTCTCGGACACGTCCGTTCCAGCGGGTTTGAGTAGGCATCCAATAAGGGACTACCGAGCCTTTTCAGGGCGAGAGGTTGTGTAATTTCACTGGAGAGGAGGGTAGGGGAAATTTTTGTTTGATGAGAGACTCCACCGCTCGGTGAACCGCCACCACATTCGAGAATGGCAGGGTCATTATATCTTGAGGGGGGAATGATACAATATCTATGTTTTGACGAGTGACAGAATAGACACAATAAGAAGATCCAAAACTGCCCCTCCCCCACGTTGTGACGCCTGCACAAGCATCTTCCCCAACCCGCCTGGGCAGCTCGTGCGCCGTGTGTTCACGTCGAAGCGCCCGGTGATGTCGGATCCAGAACCAATCTTGGGCGGCCCGGACTACACGTGTGCTGATGGACTGGATACCGGCTGAATGACAAGCGGAGGAGGGTGAGGGGTCAAGAAGATCGACCATGAAGCACACGACCAGTTTCAGGATGCTGATGTCTTTGTGTGTGCTGATTGTCATTCTTTGACTTGGCTGGTCATCTTTGTCAAGTCTCTTGACTCGAAATACTCCCTCTCCCACACTCGCCTTCAACAGCACAAAGACAGTTTCATTTTCAGGGTCCAAAACTCACCTCAAAGAAACCTCCAATAAACAACATACCTAGCCCAGGGGTGGTCCAACGGCACATACGTAATGTTCATGGGTGAAGGCCCACAACAACCCATCAAGGTTGCTTTGCTCCATCCATCCCTTTCTTCGGCGCTCGAACCGACAACGACAGGACGCATCCACTACGGCTCCCTCTTCTGCGGCAAGTGATTTGTCGAGCGTGGCTGTGGGCGGGCACAGGCAAGTGTTCCATTGTGTGGTACCGCGTGGGCTCTTCATCACGGTTTCTTTTTTGCTCGGAGAGTGAGATGGTTCAGAGTGTGTGGTGTATCCCGGTGTGTCATTGGACACTAGCTTCAGACCCCATCTTCTCAACTCCCCGAACATGTGTGTCCTCGTGATGGCCCCCAAGTCTATGAATGGCTGTCAACGAGAGAAGACTCGCTCATCTGAATCTAAGCGGTCAGCAAGCGGCATATCGCGGCTAGATACTCGGAGGAGCCAAGGCAACTGGATCAGCTCGCGTGAGCAGAGTGGCACGATGCCCGTCAGACAATGCATCTTCTGAACTTATGTGAGCCCCTCATCGTCGAAATGGTCCAGATCATTTGAGCTGGCGACATGTTGGAGAACGTGACCATTTCCAATGCACGACATCCGCTTTCTCTAGGGTAGTCTAGCCCCACACTGCACAGTGCGTGAGACGGTTCGCTAACAGCTCCACGCTAGCATTGACAAATATACCGCCTATTTTTTTTTCCTCTGGTTTTTTTCTTCTCTTTCTTCTTCACGCAACATTGTCTCCTCGACGGCGCCGGCAACATCCAAAGCTGGCGTCTCGATCATCTCTGTCTTCTCCACGGGTGCTCATCTTTTAGAGGAGGCCGTTGCTAGACCATTTCGCCGCTCGTTTGAGGGAGGTCATACGTTTTCGTGTGATGGCTTCCTATGGTTTTTCTGTGGCTACATGACTTTTGCTCGTAGAAAATTCTCGTGATGCTTCCAATGCGTCGGTATGCCTTGTGTTACTACACCTGGTGAAACTGGCCATCAACTCCCCGAGGTGATGTCCTCGCCGTGTATCAACTGCCAGTCTTCTTGTCTGTGCCGAATGTATCCGTGATGGGTGCAAAATAATACCTAGGTTGACTTGACACTTCGCTTCAACACATGGCCTATACTTGCAGAGTCAACACGGACTACGTGACATAAAGCTACCCAAGTAGCTGAGCGAGTGAATTGAGGAATTCATGGCACCACTCTAGACGCTCAAGGTAGTGCAAAAAGCCATGGATTTTGCAAACTGGCTCGCTTGTCTCTATTCCCACAACCGAAACCCACAGCCATCATCTCCAACAGCAACAAAAAGAAACACCAGCAAAAAACATACAACACCGAGGATTCGCTGGTCGTCACCGACCCAACTACTAATTCAGCGCTTCGCAGCTTGACTATGGGGGAGCGAACGGGACCCCGTATTCTCTACGAGCTATGGTCGTATGTGCTTGTTTCATCGTCGGTTGGAGGTTATGAGCTCTCCATTTGCATGACAACAATTCGGAAGCTCACCAAGACCTCCGAATCAATTAGCCCATAGGGCCACACTCGGCAGAGCCTCCGAGCCTCTACCCGTTCCATGGCGCGGTCTAAACTTCCGAACCTATCCACCGGATCGGATCCTCAAAGTAGGACAACAACCCCTTGTTGCTTGTCGAACCATTAAGCTGAGTTTGGGTACCGCTTCAAGCCATACGAACACCTCGCTTAAGCATAGTTCTTTTCCACATAGTCGACACCCAATTGCACTGAAAGCTAATGATCCCAAAAGTACCCCATGTTGAATTGATCCCAGATACCAAATGTTGACTCGCTTCGTACCGTACATTTCAATCATCCATATTAAACCATTCCTCTCTTTTAATTTAAGCCTCGCCCTTCCAGTACTTGGTCGGCACAAAAGGCATCTTGGTCACCACGCCCGGGCGCTTCTTTCCTCGGACAACAACGTCCACCTCGGTGCCGGCCTTGTGTTGTCCGTTCTTGATGTATCCCATGGCAATGTTCTTGCTGAGCGTAGGGCTGGGAACACCACTTGTGATGGTACCAATCTTCTCACCATTCTGGTGGATCTCGGCACCCTCACGAGCAGGTGCTCCCTGGACCACGAGTCCAACTCGTCGTCGAGCCACGCCTGAGCCACCCTTGCTCTTGGGTGTCAACTGGGGAAGGATGACCTCGGCACCGTGGAAGCCACCAGACTGTCGGCGGGCTTGAGGGATGATCCAGCTCAGACCAGCCTCGACAGGGGTCGTGGTGTCGTCGAGGTCGTGACCGTAGAGGCACATACCAGCCTCAAGACGGAGAGAGTCACGGGAGCCCAGACCGGCGAGCTGCAGGCGCTCGGGACCGGCCTTGGCCAGGAGGGCTTCGATGGCGGGAGAAGTAGTCTCAAAGGCGGGATACTCCTTGCCATTGAACGAGATTTCAAAGCCGTCCTCGCCGGTGTAGCCACCACGGCTAATGAGCACGGGGTGAGTCTTGCTACCGTCGGCAAGCTTCAGCTCTCCATAGACAGCGTTGCCAAAGTAGAGCTCCTTGAGGTTGATATCAGTGGCGAGGACCTCGCTCAGAACCTCGGCGCTCTGGGGACCCTGCAGAGCAACCAGACCAGAGTTGTCGAGGCGAGTCCACTGGACGTCACCACCAAACTTGCCAAGCTCCTCGTCAAAGTACTTGGTGTCCTTGTCAAGGCAGGCACCGTTGGTCACGACGTAGTACTCATCCTCGCCGAGCCTGGTGACAACGGAGTCATCAACGATACCACCGGAGCCAGGCCACAAAAAGGTAGTCAGCTTGCTCTGCATGAGACCGTGGTTGGCCCAGTCCGAAGGCGTAACCTTCTCCAGGAAAGCAGCAGCATCCTTGCCCTTGAAGATGTGCTGCACCATGTGGCTCACATCAAAGAGCGAGGCGTGGTTTCGGGTCCAGTGGTGAGACTGGGCGAGCGTGAGGTCAGAATACTGCACGGGGAGCGAGTACCCAGCAAAGGGAACCAGCTTTCCACCCTTGGCGACGTGCAGGTCGTACAGAGGCGTCTTCTTGAGGTCAGAAGAAGCACCGGATGCGCACCGCACGCTCTGCTGCGAGAGCCGGAGGGCAGCGAATGACGTAGGACGGGCAGTGGCAGAGACCAGAAGACGGGGACCAGCCCTCGCAGCCATGTTGAGGCCCTTCATGATGATCCAATTGACGGTATTGGTGGTAAGAAAAGAGTCAATTGATCGATGGAGAGGAAGATGAGGGGATGTAGGAAGCAGGTAAACAAGAGGCCGAGAGGGCGCTCAGCAACTTTTACTCACTGCAAAGTTACTAACCGTACTCCGGGCCGCGCTTGCACCTGCGGTACCACCTTTGACTCTCACTGCACTCTCAGCGGGGCTTCGGATTGCCGCGCGCGCCCTATCAACCATCAACCACGGTCTTTGCTTCCGAAAACCGACCCCGGTCCCCCGGAGCGCCCTCCGAGCTCCGAGAGACGGAAAACCCGCAACTCGGCACTTTTGGACGGAGCAATGTTGTCTCACTTGGCATTGACTGTATCTGCTTCATGTTTGAGTGTTTTTGAACTTTCATTCTCAGCGCGCGATATAGTGGTGCCTCTCAATGAGGCCCAGAGACTACATATAACCAAAAAGTATGCCAATTACAGCTGATGCCCCCGCCGCGGCTCGTCTACCGTGATTCCTCTAAGCGCGCGGACTCTGACCGAGCAACAACCGGACGCCACCTAACAAAATAAGACACCGTAGCAGAGCCTCGCTTGAGTCTGCCGACAGCTTATTGCTGCTCAAAACTATACTTCAGCCAACATCCCAGTGCCTGAAGACTCTCCCATCGCACGTTCTCGTCATCCGACTGCATGAGCTCCATAATCCGTCTCTTGAGTCCCACTCTCTCCAGTTGGTATCGCTTCTCAGGAACCTCCTTCACCAGGTATCCAACGTCGTTGCAGGCGATAGCGAGTACCTGCTTGTCGTTCTCCCATGGCTGTCGCATAATCTCGGCCAGCTTCCGAGGGATCTCTCCATTCTCATACTCGAGGATCTTGCGGGCGTTTTCAGCCCAAAAGACTGTGCTTCGGTGAGGTGGCGACCATCGGAGGTGGCCAGCCTGCACCTCGGCCACATATTCGTCAAATGTGGTCTTGGTCTTGGTGTACTCCTCCAGCATTTCCTTGAGGCTCGAGAGGTCCTCCAGCAAGTCAGGGTCGGTCAGATGGCGGCTACCGATGTTGTCCAGGAGAGCGGGGAGACGAGCGAGAACAGCAGTAGGGAGTAGAGACTTTTGGTTCTTCTCGAGCAGGTTGTAGAGTGTGGACAAGATTAGTCGGGTTGTCTTTTCCTTGGGGGACAGTCGTAGAAGCTGAGTGTAAAGCAGAACAATGTCGTATTCACTGGGAGGGATTAGTAAAATACTGTAGGGGACGACCGGGGGACTTACTCGTTGAGGTCGTCGCCAATGTCCTCGGCCTCGAAGCTTATCTGCCAGATGACAAGGAGAGCATGGTAGAGGAGCTGCAGGCCAACTCCGCCGCCCAACGAACCCTCGAAGCCGGTAGAACGAGTGCTCGCGTTGCCGCTCCAGAGACTGGCAGATGAGTTGCCCCCGTTGCCAATGCCAGCTGCCGTCTGGAGGATCTTGATGAGGGGCTCAACCGTCTCGCTTCGCTGGTTCCAGAACTGCACCCTTGACACATGACCCAGGAGGAGGGCTGAATACTCCTGCACGGCGATATCCTGCAGACCGGCATCGGAGCTCTTGGCCAAGCCAGAAAGGTAAGAGAGCACCACGGGCAGAGCCTGGAGTGTCGCTTGGGACTCGTCTCGAGCGAGAGCCATGAGGGTGGTCAAGGCGTGGGCAGTAAGCAATGGAATAGGGTCCTCAGGGTTGGTGGAGTTGAGCAGAGGCAAAAAATGTCGATAAGGCTCCTTGGTCTTGAATAGGGCTTTGGCTAGGGATGGAACAGCTAGGAGGAGAAGTAGGTTAGGATCAATTGCAGTCTCAATGATGAAAGAGTGGCAACAGAGGTAAAGGGTTCTGGCACCCCTGCCTCTTGTCGCGCGTGGGCAAGTGCGAGATGAACTTACCCTCAAGAAGATCGCCTAGCAAAACGAGGATGTACTGGCTCACGTTGGCATGCTTTCCTGCCGTCTCGAGAACACTGGTCTTTCCCGAATCGCCAACAAACAAGACGCGGTATCCATCGATATCCCCCGAGACAATCTCCTTTCGCTGCTCAGGCTTCTTTGCCTTGTCTACGGCGCGAATCTTGGCATACTGCTCCTCGGTGAGGGTGCCTGCCCTGACGGCGCCGTCCCATGGGATAGGTCGCTGGCGGATGTTGCTCTGGAGAGAGGCCAGGTACGTCGGCGGGTCGAGCGACATGATGACAGCGTCGCGGCTGCGAGCAGCAGAATATACGAGCGGTCGGACGATGGGCCAAGGGAGGAGACCGAGGGGGTTGACGGAAGACGGGGGTTCGAATGGGAAAACGGATGAAAAGAGCGAGCTGAGCTGGTGAGATGAGGTTGCCGGTGATGCAACCAAGCAAGCCGCGCGGAGCGTCACAGCTGCCAACCCAACTGGAACCTGGAAACTCTGGAGCTCAAAAAGGGCGCTAACCTAGCCACAAATCAAGCCACCATCATGTGTGGCTCGAGCTCATGTGGCTGCATGCATTCATTATGTGGCTAGTGCGAGGCAAGCCATGTGGCTTGAGCTGGTTGCCTGACCAAGAGATCCTCCAGGCCCAACTTGGAATCGATCCCTGAAGGTCCTTCTCCCAACCTCCCAGTTTCTTGTCAATGTCGTCGTCTGACGGCCACATCCTTAGCCAAAACCCCGTAAATACCCAATGAGATGGTGGAACCCTCGGTTGCAGGGACGTTGGCCCCTGGATGATTAATTAGAGCATGCATCAGACGCGTTCGCGCTTCCCGCCCTGCAATGAAAACCGCTCGTCTTGATCCATCCCAGGGTGTAAAGTGGTGATGGGGTGTACGTACCCTCGTGTCAGTCTCAAGTTCCCCAGGGCCAAGCTCTGTAGGCGGTCTAGCTTCAGGGCGGCCACGAACAGGTCGCAGGCCCGGCAGGGGGGTTCTCGTCCAGTTGTCGACGCCCGGCCTTGGAAGCTGTCGGCTCTAGAACACCCCCCGGTCCATCCCGCGGGACCAGGCGCTTTTTGCCCTGAGCTACGTTATCGATAGTTGTCCAGTGAGCGAGCACAGGCTTGTTCAGTGGAGGTGTCATGAGCTGGCACCCCGCCATTGTTCGTCGCTGTCCGACACCAACGTCACTCACTCTCAACTCCTGAGCTGCATGTGAAGCTTTTCAACGGAAAAAGACCTGTTTACACCGACAAGAGCAAAAGGACTGAGTCTTCCCCCTGTTCTCCAACGTGGTATTGAATTTCGCTGATTTTTCCCTCGTCAGTGTGGATCCAGGGACCCCTTATTTCGCGCGTGCGTGTCAAAGTGCCTGGTGACAGACACGTCGTGAGAAATCAAAGAGGTTGGGTGTAAGTGGGAGGTTGGGAACCAGAACGAAGCCTTTCCCGCAGCCCACCACCAGCACCAGCCGCCTAGTTAAAACTCTTGCTGCAGCGCCCAGCTTTTGGCACTGCTATTTTCTCGACTTCAATTTTTTCCCTCTCTCTCCATCGTAACTCAAAGAATTCTAACCTCTCTCCCTCCTTCTCCCACCCAGCATCATCCCCGGGGCCTCGCTTCGTCATCCTCACCCTCACATACCGCCTATACGAGCCGCACTTCTACTTCCAGGTTTTGGGCACTAATACCTAATACTACGCACTCGACCTCACCGCCCGCATTCCTCTCTTCACCCCCGCGACACACCCGCTTCTGCCGCATTCCAGAACCGTTTGTGCGAGGACCTGACAGATTAATCTCGCAACGTTTGACTCACACGAGATCCATTTAAAAACCTCGAGTCAATTCGACATCGGTGTGAGCTTGGACTGGAATTGGATTCTACATCATCCACTGCGACAAGGCGCACTGCGCAGGGAAAGAGAAGAAACGAGAGCACCAACCAACCACAGAAAAGAAGCCGCCGTCATGCGCTTGTCGTCAAGGCAGCTGGTGCTCCTCGCCATCGCTGGCTTGGGATCTGCTAAGCCTTTTCCCCGAGATGATCTACACGATTTCGGCTACTCTTATCTCATGCCCCGCGCCTGCGATTCTTACTGCGGCTCTGACAATCAATACTGCTGTGGCTCCAACGAGGTCTGCCAGACTGCTGATGGCGTCGCAAACTGCGTCAAGGGCTACATCGGTGCCTTCACCACCACCTGGACCGAGACCAAGACATACACCAGCACGATCATGACCCGCTGGGAGCCTGCTCCTGAACCTACCGTGGGCGTCGACTGTGTACCCAAGAACGACGAGCAAGAGGCCTGTGGTGAAATTTGCTGCGCTGGATGGCAGACGTGCGCCTACGACGGCCAGTGTTCGGCGAAGCCTGGCTACGACGAGCCTACTGCTGTTATCATCACCAGCGACGGCAAGGTCACCACCCGCTACTCTGCTCCCTACCGAGTCACTGGCACCACCACCATCACTACTAGCGGCGTCCAGAGCACTGAGACTGAGACTATTACTGGGACTGAGACCACTTCCGAGGCCACGGCCACCTCGACCAGCGATGAGGCTGCGGCCGGAGAGGGTTCAACCAGCGGCGGCGGTCTCAGTGCTGGCGCCATCGCCGGTATTGTCATCGGTTCCGTTGCTGGTGTCGCTCTCCTCCTGCTACTCTGCTTCTGCTGCATCGCCCGTGGTCTCTGGCTCGCTCTCTTTGGCAAGAAGGACAAGAAGGATAGTCGTGAGCAAGTCGATATTGTCGAGGAGCGCTACTCCCGTCACGGAAGCCGTCCCCCACCCTCTGCCTACTCTCGCAAGTCTCGCATGAGTGGTGCCCCATCCGCAGCCGGTGACCGCCGCGAGAAGAAGTCGAGCGGTAAGAAGTGGCTCGGCATCGCCGGTCTCGCGGCTACGCTCCTGGCTCTGCTCAACCTCAAGAAGGACAAGCGACCTGCTAGCACCAAGCCCGCGCGGTCATCCCGTGGGTCTTCGCGATACAGCGACTCTTACTACTCATACAGTGATTACACCGGCACCAGCCCCAGTAAGTCCAGCTTCTAAACACAATCAATACATCTCAAGCTAACAACTTAAATAGGCAGCTCAAGCTCTGGTGGAAGAACACACCGCACTCGCCGTACACGAGACAGCCGAGCGAGGTCATACTACTCCCGCTCTCCTCGACCTTGATCTGAGACGACGGCTTCTCACTCGCCCTTCATCACCATCTCCCTCCCACATCTGTACATGTCTCCGCATTTGACATAGGGACTCGAGCTGAAATGGATATACGCTCGACTTGTTGCTTCGCACATTGGGCTACTGGCGTTCCGGTTTCTCGTATATAATTGTCTCCTGTTGATTTTTTCCCTCTTCCTCCTTTTCCATCACCCCCAATCCTCCCGCAACCCCCTTCTCGACACTAAGTTTTCACCACGATTGTTTTTTGCACGCATGGATTATGGTTACGGTTATGTTTTTTTAAGAGATCACGTCACGAGGGAAAGTAGAGATGACTTGCCACGAAAGGTCAAGAAAAATTCACGAGTTTGATATATAAAGATGGATATATCGATGAGGCATGGCATAATGGAATTAAAGAAAGCAAACCTCATTTTCACACCCAACTTTTGCCCACTTTTATCGTCACCTTGCATGTGTCTGTTGTTCATTAATGGATTAGCGAGCGACCTCTTCAATTGCTCGTTTTTTACACGATCCAATATCCAAGATCGCCCTGGCTTCTCAGGTATATAGCTAACTCATCATCATCTTCCAATGACAAGAGGGTGATTGTCTTTTTTTTAACAGGCGGCCAGAACCCTCGTCTAAAATGAATCTTCCCCCGCTTCGCTCCACAAACGTCACAAAACGCACTTTTTGGCGAGATTTCATAGAAGATTGTGCCGGCACCAGAGTCATCATCTCTTTGCTTTTTGAAATTTGTTTCGTAGCCCATTCTTTTTTTGCTACGTGACATGCAACGATGAACCTTCGCCACTCCTGAGACCCAGAAACGCAAAAGAAACAAGATCCGTGTCCGTGTCCGCGTCTATTCATCCTGAACAATGTTGCCCTTCTCGGAAACGTACAGACCGTCCAAGAACTGTAATGTACCGTGTTAGCAAATCGTGGCTCAGAGGCATTGCGTGGATTTGACCGTGTGTCGGCTTGCCCTACCTTTCGGATATCCTTGTTTCGCACTCTGCAGATCTGCTGGATATCGGCGGCGCTTTGGGAGACGTTCTGGAGGTCGTTGCCGGAGAGGACGAGCTCGTCCTTCTGAGCGGTCGAGACGTCGACCTCGACACCGGGCTGCATGACGACGCGGCGGACAAGCTTCTCGCCGACAAAGTTTCGGATCTCAACCTCGAACAGGTCGGTCTCGGCGCTCTTGGAGACGTTGACGTTGATGGGGAAATGGGCGTAGACGTATCGCATCTTGTACTTGAAGCCCTTTGTCACACCGATGATCAGGTTGTTGATGATGGTGCGGACGGTTCGGAGGGTGGCGACGTTCTTGCGGACACCATGGTGGATCTCGATCGAGATGGTGTTCTTCTTGGGAACGGTGAAGTTGACGGCCAGGTGGCTGAGATCCTTGACCAGCTTGCCTCGGGGGCCCTCGACGGTGACAACTCGCGACTTGATGGCAACCTTGACTATAAGACGATAAATGTTAGTGTTCCGAGCTTTTCCTCAATTCTTTCGACGCCGTCCGTGGACAATCCCAACAGTCTGGACCTCTGCGAGGATTTTCTTGAACATGCTGTGCGCAGGCGCAAACAAAACCCCATCGCGAAGAAATTCCAGCCATGTTTGGAAATCCAGGATCGGCGACGTTGTGAATTTCAAGGGGAATGGGCGCAACGTACCCCCCTCGGGGATCTCAAGGAGCTCCTGGGAATGAATGTACTTCATCCTGCCGGCTGTGGGAGGGTTAGTTGAATTGTCGGGGGGTTGAGGGTATCTGGGAGAATCGGCCGCGGATTGATTTCGACTTGGTGCGGGTCGTGGAGGTAAAAAAAAGACGGCAAATTTCGTGTGCGAGGAATCACGTGCCGTGTGCCCCTCGTGTGGGCAGAGAACCTAAAGCTGGCGGATCCCGGGCGTTTTGTTTCTCCGTGGGTAGAGCTCCAGCCAATGAGAGGGTGTAGTGGGTTGAGAAGAGGACGAGAAACAGCTTTGTGAGTTGAAATCAGAATGATGCCGCATTTTTAAACGAAAAATAACTTGAGGAACACTTTTGTATAATATTTTGATTGCTTCCTCTAAATCTCATCGCAATTGAACAAATATTAGACGTCAATATCCTCATCTTTACACTCCAACTCGGTCCTCATGCAACGGAGAGCTCAGGTGGGTCCCCACCGGTCCCCTGCCCAGCCCCGGCCGATACGTCAGCGCCGCCGACCTCCGACGTCCTCACCACCAAAAGCCCAACCCCGTCCGCGCCAGCCTCTCAGCCTCGCAGCCTCATCCCGCGCTTCTTCAAACAAACGGCAGATATAGAGACTCGCCATCATGTCGTACTTTTTCGCGACTCCCGTCGATATCGACATTGTCCTCGACGATGCCGACGACCGATCCATGGTCGATGTCAAGCTCGACAAGAACCGCCGCGAGAAGGCGCCCCTCTTCATGGATGGCGAGTCTGTCAAGGGCGCCGTCACCGTCAGGCCCAAGGATGGCAAGAGGCTTGAACATACCGGTATCAAGGTTCAGTTTATCGGCACGATAGGTACGCGACACATTTGCGCGGGACACGATGGCACCGACGTTGCCGCCTAGCCCCTGAAACCTCACCCCTCGATGCGCCAGCTCTTCTATTCGAACCATCAGATGCTAACACGCCGTGCAGAAATGTTCTTTGATCGCGGAAACCACTACGAGTTCCTCTCCCTCAACCAAGAGCTCGCCGCGCCCGGCGAGCTCCAGCACCCCCAGACCTTTGACTTCAACTTCAAGAACGTCGAGAAGCAGTACGAGTCGTACAACGGCATCAACGTCAAGCTGCGCTACTTTGTGCGCGTCACCGTCTCGCGCCGCATGGCCGACGTCATCCGGGAGAAGGACATTTGGGTCTACAGCTATCGCATCCCACCCGAGATGAACAGCAGCATCAAGATGGACGTGGGTATCGAGGACTGCCTCCACATCGAGTTTGAGTATAGCAAGTCCAAGTACCACCTCAAGGACGTCATCGTCGGCCGCATCTATTTCCTGCTGGTCCGCCTCAAGATCAAGCATATGGAGCTGTCCATCATCCGGAGGGAGACGACGGGCGCCGCCCCCAACCAGTACAACGAGAGCGAGACCCTGGTACGGTTCGAGATCATGGACGGCTCACCGTCGCGCGGCGAGACCATTCCCATCCGACTATTCCTCGGAGGCTTCGACTTGACACCTACGTTCCGCGACGTCAACAAGAAGTTCTCTACCCGCTACTACTTGAGCCTGGTCCTCATCGACGAAGGTAAGCCGGTATTTCCACCCATAGCTCCGAGCAACCTACTAACAGATATCCCAGATGCTCGACGGTATTTTAAGCAATCTGAAATCATCCTTTACCGCCAAGCCCCTGACGCCGCCCCTCTCCCCAACGCGGGCACCCACGCGCTGGCGGCGCACCCAGAGAACAAGCAGATAGGCGCTGCTATTCAGGCATAGTAGTGATACTTACATGTCGTTCTTGTTGAATCCGGTGTATATTCTTGTCAGCTCTCTGCGCGTTTTCTAGCATCGGTTCTGGCGTTTGGTTTCAAAGAATGGGAATAACCGGGTGATGGAAACTGGTGCAGTCCTTTCGTATAAACAAGTCATCCTTTCATATGAAACAATTAATCAATCCGGTATGATCCCATAAACATGTCCTACCTAGGTATCGCGCCCCTGTGAGTCTTTAAAGCAAACACGTTTGTTTAGTTTACATGAACCGCCTCCCGCCTCTCACTCGGCGCTCATACAATTTCCATAACATCATCCGCCTCGAATCCAAATTGGTTGTTGTGAATGGCTGCAATTCGGTCCAGCTCATCCTGATACTGCTTCCGAATATCCGCCAAGGACACCACCTTGCGCTTTGTAACCTCTTCGCCCTTCCGCCCAAATCCTGTCGTCGGTACCGTTGGCTCGTCATAGATCCAAGCCTGCTTGGGTTCCACGCAGCTGAGAGCGTTGATGAGCAAAAGGTACTGTCTCGTGACGGGAGTGTCAAGAATGTCCTCTCCTGTCACCTCATCACCCTCGCCGGCGCCTCGAAGCTTATGAATCCGGTCCAGCACCACCGAGGCCGCACCACGGTAGTTGTTGTGCTTGACCCGCCAAGAGTAGAGCACCTGGTGGTAAGGGAACCCTTCCGTAACATCCAAGGTGGCCTTGGACTTCTGTGCTAGAAGATCATCCACCTGTTGTTGCAAGCCAGGGAAGGGCAGAGCCACAAGCTCGATGGTGTGGTATGTCTCGCACATTCTGGCGACGAGCTTACGGAGACTGGAAGACCTCATAGCCTGATCCTTAATCAACAGCAAGGTGGTGTGGGCGAGTTCAAACTGTGATGTCGCCACCGCGGCGTTGAATAGCCGGCTTTGCATGTCCGTCTTGGTAAAGGTGGCATCCTGTTTGAAGCCCAGGAACTGTATCGCCAGACGGGCAAACTCAACCACGTACGAGTAGGCCTTTTGTTTCTCAAACAGAGCGACGATGTGCGAGTAGTACTTAGCAGGCCCGTGGTTCAAAAGGTTCCACTCTGTGTCGTCAAGGAGGCCGCTGCTGTGGCGGTCACCTTCAGTATTCTCAGCACCTAGTAGACTGTTAGTTAATCCTCAGGACAATGGCAAGTAGGAAACTCACTCATGCCAATGGCTGCCTTTTTGAAGTTGATGGCGGCAGCGTTAAAGTCATTGAGTGCTAGCAGCACACGACCCTGGATGTAGGTGGGAAAGGGGTTCTGGTCACAGAAGGGAGCCAGATCAAGAGCCAAGTCTGCCCTTTCTCTCTTGATGAGAGAGCACTGGATGAGCGATGGCGAGACCTCGATGTCGCTATCTGGCGCGCATAGGTTTGTAACGAGATCGGTGATGCCAATGGCGAGTGACTCGTTCTTGTTGGCGAACCCAAGGAGATGACCCAGGTTGACCTCGAGAGCCGTCACCAACTGGACATCCTCGGCGCTCTTCTTTGATGTAGTGCCAGTTTCGCTCTTCTCCCGGCTGTTGGCTACTGATAGCTCGGTGTGAGCGAGCCACTTGAGAAGTTCTAGCCTTCGCAGAGCTGCCACAAGTTGTCTGAAGACGTGCCCAATGTCGACGCGGTGGTGGAGAGCGTCCGCTTCATTGTCAAACTCGAACTCCATATGCACGAGAAGAATGAGCTGGCTGAAGTATGCCCTCCATTGCAACTCGATGCTGTCCTGAACCGCCTTGACAACCAGTTTTCTTCCAAATTCGGTCAAAGGATGCTTCAGATTTCGGGTCTTGGCTTCTGCTGGTGCGGCGATGAGGTTCATCACATCGGCGTAGAGTTCATCTGTCACTGTCTTGAAGTTCTGACCGAGCGTATCCGTGACCTGATAGGCGTCGTCATCTGTGACTCCCCGCCAGAATCCAGACTTGTCGGAGAAGTATTGAATTCTCTCGAGATCCGTCTTGGATGAATCCTCAAACAGCTCATGTCGTAGCACGGCCTCTGAGACTTGCGTATACTTATCTGCGAGTCCATCCACAAAGCTAAGACCTGAAGCTAGCAAGGCAGCATGAGCGACATGATCCACCTCAGGTGTGGAGAGGTTATAGCACAGTCGCTCCAGGGTGCTGCAGTCTCTGATGGCAGACACAAAGTCTGCGCAGACCACCCAAGTCAAATCTGTGTTGGGATCCAGAGAAAGACCGATAGCCTCTCCTCGTTGCTTATCCATCTCAAGAAGCAGTCGGTAAAACCTCTTCCATTGTGACTCACTCGACGCTCGGAATGCCGCATAGTCCATAGCTCCAGATGAGGCTCGGTCCAAGGTCGAGGCAGCACCAAGGACAGAGCATATCGACTCTGCCAATCCACGGCCTTTGGCAAATTCTCTTGTAGTTCCCAGTCCGCGCTCGTAGATCGTCAAGGCTATTTCGAGTGTAGCCTTTGTGAAACGACCTGGTTTGAGAATGATTCGCAGCCACTTCTCAGTGACGTCGGTTGGATCCCAGGGTCCGGACTCCTCTGCAATTTCAACCGTGGGGTCCGCATAGACACCGTCCCAGCTCTCATCCCAACTTTGCGAGATGTTCTTACGGTCCACCTCGAGTCTCTGCACCCTGTAGGTAATGTTGTTCTTCCAGAGGGTCCAGAGTTGGATAGAGCTCTCGGCAGGGGATGAAAGAATGAAATCAGCAAGAGTCCATACATCAGAGGATGACGGTGTGGCTGGGACCAAGGCGTTGCTGGGAGAAAGGTCTTCGACGATGATAGTGTGAGGGTCCTTGGCGATGATCTTCCAGAACTTGAACTCGCCAGCACCGATAGGTGAAAAGGTCGCGCAGATACGCTGTCCTCGGTTCCGTCCAGTAACTTGGACCAAGTTGGATTGAGAAGGGTCAATGGCCCATTTGCCAATCTCTTGCGGGTTCCTTTCGGCGTTCAGAATGTCGCCCGTATACAGGATCTGACCATCGTTAATGTTCCAGATACGCATCCTGTGATCCAGGCAGACAGTGATGGCAAAGAGAGCATCGTCAAGCCCAAAACTAGTGACCTCGACCGACGTGGCTGAGCTGTATTCCATGTTGACCTTGCCGTGTTTTATCGTGTGTTTCCCCTGGAAGGGCAGTAGGCTTCGGAGGTTCTGTGCCCATCCTTGCACATTGAAGAATGACTCGGTCCAAAGGGGCGCAGATACTATAGATGTCAGTAAAGACGTACTGTTAATGTTTACCGTCGACCTACGTTCGTGGGACTTGTTCTTGTCCAGACGGATCATTCCACCATCGTTGACTGTCACAAGGAGTGTCTCCGCAGTCACAGCCACCATACGGTGAGGGCTCTTGAAGCCTAGGCCTGATGGTGCCTGAACCTTGCCCAGCTCTGAGAGCCCAGCATCAACAGCAGCCCTCTTCCTGAACAGGTCCGGTCGCAGGGTGAAGCTGTAAAGCTGGTATGCCTGGTCGAGGACGAATACGCAGAGCGAATCATGCTCCTCTGGGTCGGAGAACGCCACGCACTCTGGCTGAATAGGCACAGAAAAGTGGAAGTTGAGCACCAGAGGTGCATCAGCGGCCTGGGTCTTTTTGCAGACATCAACAGCCCGGATGCTCAACAGAGTGCCATCCTCAAGGATCCGCCACAGAAAGCTGCGCGGCGTGTCGTGCCATTGCCGATGATAAATGGACGATGATGTCGCCAAGGTCTTTGATCGAAAACTCGTCTCGTCCTCGCCCGAACCGTCTCGTGCTGGTTTGCGATGGCCCCGACCGTGGATCGAATTGGAGGGTACTCGGATGGTGACAACGTTGGAAGGAGCTGGAGGCTCGAGATTCACGCGAGTCTCTTTGAAGAGATACTGCGTCTCGCCTGAGTCCATCTCGCCTCCATAAATCGGCTCGATCGTGTGATGGAGGTGGTGGTTTAGGAGTTTGGATGCGATACCCAAAGTAGGCGCAAATCGATTTCTTGCGAGCGAGATGCGGTCGCGTTGCCTGGCAGAATTTCTGGGTGGAACTTGGGCGTCGCGCCTGCGCTAACCCAAAATGGCAATCAGCTCTACACAAGGCATCACGCAACCATGTTCACCACAGAATCACTCAATAATTCACATAAAAGTCGTGGTTTAAATATATTCCCAGTTTAATAGAGTACAAGAAACTGTTTTACACCATGAGAAAGACTCTTTAGCCACAGATGCACTTCGAAACAAGCCCTGCGATCCTTGCACCCTAGAAATGAGTTCGAAAACACGGCAAACAAGACCTCGAAAATCAACGCCAACAACCCAAAGGACCATGATCACATACTCCGTCGCTCATACAGACTTTAAATTCGACCATTTAATCCTTGTCCACGTCCTTGGGGGCAGGGTCGCCGATGCCCTCCTCACCAATTGCAAACAGGGTGTCGCTCTCTGGAAGACAGGGACTGTCGTAGATCTTCGCAATACGAGTCTCGCCACGGCCCTTCTTCAGGCTGATTCTGGTTGTACTAGCGTGAGCGATAATGTTTCCACCGATCGGCTTCTTTGGATCTGGGTTAAACATGGCACTTGGTCCACCGTCGACCTGAGCCACGACCTGGTTTGTAATGACCACCGCGATACCAAACTCATCTGCCAAACGTTGGAGCGTCCTCATGAACTTGGCAAGGTGAGTCTGTCGGTTTGAGAGCTCGCCACGGCCACAGAAGTCGGTTCGATAGAGTGAGGTTGCACTATCGACGATGAGAAGTGAGAACCGCGTCTCACACATCATAGCGGCGGCCTGGTTGAGTAGTTGAAGCTGATGATCCGAGTTGTATGCGCGGGCGTAGGCAACATTGTCCAGGACCTCCTCTCCGGAGAGGCCAAAGCGATTGGCGACTCCCAGCAGTCTCACAGGGCGGAATGTGCCCTCCGTGTCGATGTACATGCACTTTCCCTCGCCACCGCCCATGTCGAAGGGCAGCTGGCAGGTAACAGCAAGTGTGTGGCAAATTTGACTTTTTCCGGTTCTGAATTCACCAAAGAGCTCAGTGACTGAGCCAGTTTCGATGCCACCGGCGAGGAGAGTGTCCAGGTTCTTGGATCCGGTTGTGATGGAGATAAGTTCGCTACGTCGCTGGTGCATTTCCGTGGCAGTTGTGAAGCCCATAGGAACAAGCTTAGAGGCTACCAAGATGTCAGCTATCATCCCGCCATGAATCTCGCAGTTCTTTTACGTACCCTCAGCCAGAATCTTGGCTGCTTTCTGTTCCGAGATACCCTTGACTTGTTCCAGTACTCGCCGTGGTGTGTAGGCGACCGACTCGACCGTGTTGTAGCCTCCATCGACTACAAGCTGAATATCGCGCTTCGTCAAACCCGCGACTCCCTGGGTAGACAATGGTCAGTGAATGCCACGATCTCCAGATACCAGTTACTTACCTCCAAGGCGGAGAGTGGCGTAGGGGCACCAGGGCCGGGCATGCCGCCATCCTCACCCATCTGGGCCTCATCATATTCCTCGCTCATGTTGATTGACGAGATTTCTTGATACAATTGTTAAGACAAGTGAGACCTCGGGGTGAATTGAAAGTGTGAGGAGAAGGGAGAAAATTGGTAATCAGGCAAAGGAGGAGGGGGATGGTGTTGATGGAAAGCGCGGTGGGACGCGTTAGTGGAAGGCAACAGCGCCAGGCTCGCTACGCCAAGTCACGTGATTTAGATTGCATGCTTCAATGACAGGCTCGATTGCAGGGATCGACATCATATCATCCTCAGCTCAGCTGGAATGAGCTTGGCTACCTAACAAAACATTCTCTTTTTATTTGCTTCATGTGTTGAAGGGGTTTCATTCTCATCCTGAATATCTCATGTCACGATTTGGCACTTGGGACGAATTTGTGATTGACTTTTTTGAATTATTATTCATCTATTGTACAAGAGAGCGAAAGGACCAAGGCAGGCCACTTGTGATTAACAATCATCAAAGAAAACTTGCTAAAACACCTGTCCATGCGAGTAATACAGAGAATGTGAGTCTTTAACAGCCTTGACTCGGAAAAGGAAAGTTGCAAATCAAATCATCTGTGGTGCTAGTCCTCCGCGATTCGTTATCAAGTACACCTCATGATTGCGTAGTGGTGTTGTTGTTTGTGTCGTTTAGTTGACAGTGATGCGTCGAGACTCGTGCTTCTTGGCCTTGGGGACGACGATGCTCAGGATACCATCCTTGAAGGTAGCAGAGACGGTGTCCTGGTCGACGCGGGTGGGGAAGTTGAAGCTGCGAGAGAACTCGCCAAAGCTGCGCTCAGTGAGCCAGTACTTGGCGGAGTCGGCAGGCTTCTTCTGGACCTCCTCCTTGGGCTGCTGAACGACTTCGGCGCCCTTCTCATGGGCGTTGGCCTCAGCTTCATCCTCAACCGTGGCCTGGTGAGAGTGCGTGCTCTTGCCGTCGTCGCTGCCCTCAGTGATGGCGCCGCTCATGGCGGTGTCTTCAACCAGGCCAGCAGGGGGGGTGCCGGCAGTGTAGGTGCGCTCGGTCTTGCCGCGGATGAGCATTGTCTGGGGCTCGGTGAATTCGATGTGGACATCCTCCTTGCTCATTCCAGGGAGCTCGCCGTGGAGCTCATAGGCCTCTGCAGTCTCGCGGACATCAAACTTGGGCTGCCAGTGGCTCAGACCAGTGCGGCGGCCATTCTGTCCCTGTCCCTGGCGAGAGTAGCTGTCAAAGTCGTCGAGGAGACGGAAGAGGGGAGTGAAAGAGGCGTCGGAGTTGTAGAAGTTGCGGGGGAAGAAAGCCATTTTGTTTGGTTGGTAGGTGATAGTGTTGAAGGTGGTTTGCTTCAGGTTGGTTGTTTGAAGAGCTTGAAGAAGGAGTTGATTTGCAAAGTGCAAGAGAGCTTTGAAGTTGTTGCTTGTGTTGTTTGTTTGTGTGTGTTCTGATGAAGAAAGATTCCCAGCTTTGGGGGATGTAAAGCACTGCTTTATACTTGGGGGTGATGTAGGACAGATCGAGATGGCTGTTTCCCAGGCCTTCGTGAATGCTCGCGAAGGATTCCACTTGGAGCTTCTAGAATTGACTCGACCGTCTTAGACAGGCAGAGAAGACGTGACACACGCAGGCTTACGCAGCATCAGGCGTGATGTTGACATCAAATCGTGTGAATGTGTATGCCCGTTGCTGCCGGCAGCTGCGGGCACCTGGTGGACGGTGGTGGAAGCTTCCAGCAAATTCCGCCAGTGCACGGGATAACGAGAGTGTGCTGGACACTCGACCTCGAAAATTTCATGGTCTCGTAATTGCTTCATGATTCTTCCTGCATATTCTATGATTAACTGCGGCTAGCGAAAATAGTAATTAGCATTGCAATCCAATCAATTGGCGTTTTCAAGAGTCTGATAGATTGTTCAAGATGGAAGAGGGTCTTGGTCAGTTTCGGGGCTTGAGATTGATTATGTAATGCAAGACAATGCGAGACTTGGTGAGTACCCTAGACCTGACTCTATCCCAACCCCCAAGCATGTGAAAACAAATAATACAGGTCGAATACATGCATTTTTCATGGTTTCCTTCTACCTGTGAGTCTTTTTATATAAGAAATAAAGTATTTTATGAGTTTTGGTCTTTCTTTTCGGATTATAGTAATCGCAAGCTCTCTAGTACGTACCGACGTAGAGACACTGCAAGCATGATACGCAATCAGATGCGATTAAACCGGATCAGTATAGTAGATTCGACTACAGGCCCGGCAGCTAGGTATGACTCTTCTGCTGCTGCAGAAGTTTAAATAGGCCACTGTGTTAACATCGGGTCATGATGTTATCATGTGTTCAAGATCTGTTCTTTATTATAGTTGCAGCCCGGCCCTTGATGGGTTAACTGAGCCCGAAGATCGACTACAAGCCCGAATTACGAGACGAGGCTAGAACAATTCACACTCTGAAATCGCCTTTAAATAAAAATTTGAAAAAAAATAAAATAATAATAAGATATTCATACTGCATCAACTCGGGAGCCCTCGACAACAGCGTCGGAGGTCTACCACCCAAGCTGTTCTCTGGGCCATCTCAAGAAGTACCACTGAATGCACCATAACAACTGCTCTGATGAAACAAGCCCTAAAATGAGATAGAACTCCTCAGTTCTAGAACAGGAATCCCACATACAGGAGTTCAAGGAGCCCTCCTCCGTGCAACAACAACCTTCAATCAAGGGGCCATGTACTTGCTTTGCCCACCCCTTCCCGACAAGCCCAGTCGGAGAATTTCAGACGCCAGGCGCCGCAAGAAAGACCCCGTTCGGGGAGTTCGAGCCGCACAAGTGCCATCGGAAACTCTAAAACACCCACAGATCAACCCTGGGTTGAAATACTGCCGAGTCACCCAGAACTGACTCGCAGAGTACCGCCAACCCGGAAGACAGCTAGTTATTCCAGCCAACACTGAGTCAACACTGAGCCAACACTGAGCCAACACTGAGCCCTAATCCCTCCACTAGCCCATGTCCAGAGGGTGGTGTTTACACCCCGACAGGGCAACTCACCCCCCTCGGCGTTATGTGGCTTTGGGTTCAACGCCAACCTTGTGTCGAGAACGAGAACTGTGCTCCCCTTTACTGTGACTGAAACCCGCTTATGAACAAATACTAATGGCAACTCATCAGTTCTGTCCTCGCCAAAACCACAACGCAACACAAGTCAGTCCAACCATGGAAGTATGCCACCACTTGCAAGTCCCAAGCAATGGCCACGGTAACCCAAAGAGAAATCGACATAAACCGAGATAGAGATGAAGAGTATGCCCTAACCCAAGAAACCCCAAACTTACCTACCTGCTTGGTCCAGCTCATGTAGACTCCGTCTTTGCCCCCAATTCAGAACACCTGAAAGTAAGATAACCTTATTCCAAAGAAAAATTGCAGTTTCCAACTCCACATTGGCCCGTAGTGATCATGCTGCCGGAACTGTCATTATATCTCTTGACAGGAACCCAACCGAAAGAGGAGCCCCGTACTAGTGAAAACGTGTAATGTCAACAACTCCTCACCCCGAAATATCCTCATTCGCCAATGGCACCGGGGTCGCTATCGGACATCAGGGGGACGCACTATCGAGATATTGGTATGATCCCGAGAAGTAGTTAAGGCTCCGGTGCAGAGTCGCACTTGGAGCAGGTTCTCGTGGCCTCACGGGGCCTACCGCTCGGTAACGACTGTCGGCTGGCAAGATAACGCCGTAAATATCCATGCCGTCTACCGCGAAAGAGACGGACTGACCACCATCGTGTCGAATAGTTCGGATGGCCCCGTTTCAAGGCCGGTTCGGGCTTCGGCTCTGCAGGTTGATATACCAGCGGAATCTGGACATCGCACACGACTCGTGCTAGTACAGGAGCTTAGGCTAGAATGATTAATTGACTTTGTTGTTAGTGCATTGACGAATTTCTTCCTGCTGTGGCATGTGTTGTCTCGTCACGAAGGTATCGTGGTTCAACGAGTTGTGCTGTGCAAAGCTCAACCGGACAAGAAAGGGCCCAGCATGGGGAAACAGGATTTCTGGTCAACTGTTGAAACCTTGTGCCCCTGTTGGTCCCGTTGGTCCCTGCTGGCTGGTTTTGTCGCCTCAGATAACGTCAAGCCGCATCTGGGGTTGTAAGTGCCAGGGTCTTGAAGACAGGATTCCCGGCCCCACAATGCGGAGTTGGCAACTTGGTTATGGTAAACCCGGGTCTGGATTCCAAGAGGAAACTCAATTGACGTCATCGTGATAGGATTCGCAACTTCTGAACCGGCCAAGCAAGCTAACGCAAGTCAAGAGGGGAACTCTGGAAACCCGCCCTAGCAGTGGCCAATTCGACTGTCTTCTGGCATTAATTCTCGTCGTCCAGCTAATAGGAGCCTTCGGATCTCTCCACCGTCCGATTCTGGTCCCCTCAGCCACAATCGTAAGCCACCGCGATCGTCAACCTCGAGCCTGCCATGTCCATCGCCCAGATATGGAGACAGACAAACCAGCATGGCGTTCCCGAAACCTCTCGGACATTGTAATCGCGGCCTGCCAATGCAACATGGTGGCAAGGCTTGCTGGCCGGGCGTTCCGTTGCCACTTTGCCTTGATTAGTGAGCCACCTTATGGCTTGGCCGCTAGCTGTTGGAGCTGGTTCCAAGACCCGTCATTTTCGAAAATTAGCAGTAGCCTGAAAGATGGACAGTTCCTCGGTTGAACAGAAAAATCAAGCCCCGTCACGGGGCAGCGGCGAACCTGTTCTGGAGATTCCAATGTTTTCATCATGAGACGTGAATCGTGTTGTATAGTTACATCGAGAGCCGCCGCCAATGATCCGTGCCTGTGGTGAATATGCCAACTATGTCCAGCATAGAACCGAAACCTGTGTTCCCGCTTCTTTGAATTATCGTAGCCATAAACGCATCTGTAGAGAAGATCCAGTAGACCATTATCGAGAGTAGCATGTCGAGAACCTGTCTCAAATTCGATCGAGCCTTCACTGTCCGTATGGCCGCATCGGGGGGGAGCCCGCCATCATGGCCATAGGCACGCTGATACCCGCATGAGCTGGTCCTGGGCTCTGTACTCGGTTGAAGAGCCCAATCAGTCTTCGACCAACTGAAGGCTCCAGCTCAGTTCCGTCTCGTGCGATTTTCACCTCGCGGTTGGAATTCCAAGGGTTGCGTAACCCTCTCGTGCGGTAAAACGGAAGTCGACTCGTCGAAAGCCACTCAAGCTTGAAGGGCTTGCCCCAAGTTTTGGTACCTGGCTCCTCCGCATTATTACTCTTCCCACTCGACATCTCACTCTCACTCTCGGCATCAGACAATGCCTCTGATCCTTCCCGTTCCGCTTCCCAGAAAATGGTTCCTCTGGCGGAATCGTCAATGATTCGCCCCTTGGGAGCGTGTTCAGTCGCTTCGGTCGGGATAGCTTTTGGGAGGTCGAGGTCGCTTGTCGCCTGGGAAGTCGGCGCAAACTCAATAGCCGCCGCGGGATCCTCGTCAATCTGTGAAGCCATCCTAGCATAACCAAAGTATTCACCCGATTTGTTGGCCGAGAAGACCAAGTAGACGCTATCAGCGCCCTATTTGACCAGTCTTGTTAGTTCACTGCCATGACAGATTCGAAACGATGCGCCACCTACCTTGAAAGCAGTGTTCAAAGCATCTTCGTTGTGTGCCTGGGTGGCCCATATACCAGTTCGGACGCTCAATTCGAGGTCCTCGACCGTTAAACTCTTGAGTATGAAGAACTTGTCCTTCTGCGGTGTCGTCTCTCCAGCAGGCTCGGCCTTGGGAGTTGTCGCCGTCATCGGCTCATCTTCTGGGTTTGGACTCCCAATTTGAATAGGGGTGGCATCCGACACTTGATCCGTCTTGGTAGTTGTCGCCACCGAAGGGCCAGTCGGAGCCGTTACGCCGGTAGCACCCTCCACTGTGCTCTTTCGTAGTCGACTGACAAGACGAACCGACTGGAACTTGGAATCGTGCAGCTTTTGCTGTGCCGCGCTGCAAGTCTCCTCATCTTTGAAGTTGGCAAACGCGCAGTTGCTCTTGGAGATGAGGAACAGCGACTCCAAGCCTGCCGTTTCCTTGCACACATGGTGGACAAGGCTCATGAGATCAGTCTGTGGTGGTAGATTGCCAATCCAAATGGCATGCCCTGAAAATAACCCTTAGCCAGCATTGACTGTTATCGGGGCAAGTTGACTTACCACTCTGTCGCGGCTTTCGCGGTGGGCCACGTACGGCACTCTGGCGCCTCTCAGCTCCATCTGGGCTCTGCTTTAGCTCGCTCCTGACACGAGATTGCTTCCTAGCCCTACCTTGCCCCTGCTTGGGAGGCTGAGGATGACCTCCACCTGCCTCTGCCGGCTGCATCATGACCCGGGGGTCGTTGGTTCCGGGGC